AACAATAGTCTTATCGTTTTTTTCTGAGCCCTTGGCCCATGGAACAGTCTTACCGGATCCTCCGGATAGTTTTCCACCCCTAGTGACATTGGGGTATGGCCCAGATGAATGAATGAAAAAAGTCCTCAGCGGCTGCATATCTCTCCACCAGGTCCACCAGCTCATTTGCAGATTTAGGGTCTCCACGGCCGACCCACTTCCTCAAAGTGGCAGGGAGTGCACGTAAATATTGGTCCATGACCACACGCTCCACAATCTGAGGGCCTGACAATACCTCTGGCTGGAGCCACTTTTTGGAGAGATGTATCAAATCGAACATCTGAGATCTGGGTGGTTTGTCAGCCCTGTAATGCCACTGATGCTCCCGCTGAGCCCGGACTGCAATGGTGACACCCAGGCGTGCAAGGACCTCAGCCTTCAGTTTCTCATAGTCCTGGGCATCCCCTGGTTCCAGGTCATAATAGGCTTTTTGGGATTCACCTGTCGAAAATGGTGCAAGCAGTCCTGCCCATTGTTCCTTTTTCCATCCTTCCTGAACAGCAACCCTTTCAAAAGTGGTGAGGTAGGCCTCCACATCATCCGCAGGTGTCATCTTCTGCAAAACATAGCTGGCAGTGGATCTGCAGATTCCTTCTTTAATTCTAATAGGTGTTGGGCCACCTGCTTAAGGAGCTCTCGGTCTGCTTGTTGGGTTTCATGTTGTGCTTGTTGGGCTTCATGTTGTGCTTGTTGGGCCTCCTCAAACTGGCGATTTGTCTCCTGTTGTGCTGCATTGGCCTGCAGCAAGGCTCTTAATATTTCCTCCATCTTCTCACTTGCTCAGGAAGTTGCCCGCATTCTCCACCATATGTGGGGTTAGCTCAGGTGGGGGATCTCCTTCCCTGGGAAAAAGGTAGACCGCACAGCAGGCTTTCGTCAAAATCTGACTGGTTGTCAGTTTTATTTAAAAGGTTTGCAAAAATACCAAAAATAAACAAAACATCAAAAATAAACCCTTGCCATCCAGGCACTAACTAAACAGGAGACGTTTCCTCTCTCAGAGGTGAAGGGCTTCTCCCTGTCACCCAAAACAAAACAAAGCAAAAGCAAACCTTTTCTTGTAGGTATAGTACACACACACAGCTCTCTCAGAATACCTCTCTGAGTCCCAGGCCACGAGCAACTCCTTGCTCCAGCCCTGCCCTTTTTATATCACCTGTTGGTGGTCATCAGTGGAGCACAAACTCCGGTCCGGAACCACCTCTGCCATTGTGGCCCCGAAAACCCGGAGTGTGGACTCCACCTTACACCTCACAGTATGACCTCATGCGAGGTGACACATATCGTCCATCCATCACTTTGCCGTTCATACTGTCACAATATATATAAAAAACTTGAGTTGCATTTTAACCAACACACATGCTGTTGCAGATACATTTGGCCATGATATCTAGGCAACAAGGATTTCCGGTCACAAAAGGGTTAACCATTGTAACACATATAAATGAGAAGGAAGCTATGGCAAGATCTCAGTAAAGCATCAACTGTAGACTTTGGAATCCCCCCAAAAATAATGATGCTGCACTAAATTTATCTCAACACCATGTAATAGCATAAACATGGGTATTAAAGTAATACTAAACAAAGAAGTGTTAATCGCCATAATTCATCCATGAAAATTATATATATCTGCCACACCTCATACCATTTTTAATCCTCTACCTTATTCCTGCAGCGCTGTTCTGTAGTCACATGATCTTTCCCTGTTCTGTGGCATCTACAAGGAAATCTCTTTGGGAGGGGTTTCTATTACTGCAATATGAGTTTGTGTCTGCACAGCCCTGATAGGTGCTGTGCCAATCACATGAGTAACAAAAAAAACTGTTTCAGAAGAACTATTCAAATTAAATTATAAATATACAAAAACTGTTTTACAACTCCCTATAAATCTTTATAGAGCATAAAATGTATATTGTTTTATGGTGTAGGCGGCGTAAACGATGATTGACAGTAGCAATCATTTTGTTCAGACAGCAGCCAAAGCTCTGTTTTACAGGTATTAGCAATTAAATTTCATATATTTAATACTGATTTACATTAAAATGAAGATTTTTTGTGGGTTTCTTAGTGAATATAATCAATAGGAATACTAAATCCTACCCCCATATTATTTAGCTATAGGATGAGGAGGGGAGTGTCATTTACCACTGTGTATACACCCAGATGGGTGATTCTATAGTCATGTGGGTTGCACATATAAGAAAAAATAGCAAATTAACACATTAGAAGGAAATTGTAAGTGAAGCATAGTCAGTAGATAACAGCAGCTGGTCTATACAATCTCACGTTGCAATGGGGACACAGAGAAGATGGGAGGGACAGCAGAAGGCAGGATTAATTAGGTATATTTCACTCTACAAAAAAACAAAAGCTTTAGTGGCTTTGTGAATATGCACACTCTTGTACATAAAATGTAATGAGAGTTTTACATAGTCTGGGTTTAGTTACGCTTTACAAGAATCTATAATGTAAACAATTTGGGGTTGATTTACTAAAACTGTAGAGTGCAAAATCTGGTGCAACTCTGCATAGAAACCAATCAGCTTCCAGGTTTTATTTTCAACGCATAATTGAACAAGATGAAGTTAGAAGCTGATTGGCTACCATGCAAAGCTGCACCAGATTCTGGGTGCTCCAGATTTAGTAAATCTCCCCTTAAATGAACACGTGATGTAAGCTGGTGTATTTTATGTATTTAGAAAAGCAGAGTGAAGCCATCAGTGCCGCTCATAGGAATCACCATTTTGACCATTTTCAGCTTGCTAATCCAACCATAGTTGCACCCCATAGCTCTGCTAAAAATCTCAGAAGCAAGTAAATTTGAATATCTGAAGGTGAACATCCTTTTTACTAAATGTAAAATCAAAATTCTGCACACCATCATCTTTGACTACCTGCTGAAGATCTGAAGGGACAATTCCCTTAGAGTGGTATATATGAAAGTCCTTCATTATTCAATGTGACGTTATCCATAACATACCTTATGTATAATTCATATATTCATGTTGTATTATTCATTAGTCATATATTCTATTTTTAAACATTTACAAGCCTCAGGTAGTTTCATGACAATTGGATAACAATTGAAAAAGTTAGTATATTTTTTAAATGAAGGCAGAGTGCATTTCAGCATTTATACTAATTATTCTGTTAATTTGTAGTGTCAATTAGTAGATGTTAATTATTGCTAAATCTTAGCGTTCCTTGAAATTATAAACTTATTTACAGACTTCTAAACACCAATTTAGCACTAATTTTACAGCAATTAATACAATTTTACAGCTTCTTTAATTAATTTAACACTCAATAATAATAATAAAGATTCTACATTGCTTCAACTCAGTATCCCTGTGCTGTTTTGCTAGATTGTGTAGGCATAACCAGACAGCAACCTATGAGATCACCTGCTGGATAAAAAAAGTTGTGTAATTCAAAAGAGTGAATGCCCTAATCTGCCTTGAGATGTTAGTTTCTTTTTTTGCTGAGGGTAATTTTCTTATTGTTTGGACAACTGAACACCAAGAAACTTGTTTTTACTGTTGTTCATAATGCATTAAAGCCAAACTCCAGGCAGATATAAAAGACACAAATTAATGCAGCTTTGTAATCATCCATTGATAAACAATTGATTTTCATTCTTTGTATTACTTATTATTACATCAATAGATGTAATTTTTAATGCAAGCAGTGTAAGTTCCGGAATTTAACCTCCTAGCAGCCTTTTGCAATCCCTTGTACAGCATAGCTCAGACTAGGACAAGAAGAAAAATCATAAGGAACCAATCAATTATGCTATAGTGCAAGAAGCATGCTGATAGGAGGAAATAGCAATTGGACAGAGAGATTAGCTGATCAGTCTGCTGCTTCTCTTTTCACTGTCCGATTATACACTGAGGGGAAAGACAAGATCTTTATGTGTTACTGCACTGCAGCAGAGAAAAATCAGGCCTCCTACCTTTACAGCTAAGACTATGCTGTTTGGCTGAGCTGTGTATAACTCAGGGCTGTATGGACAGAAATACAAATTCTTTAGTAGGATTTATTTTGTCTGGGAATGCATCTATCAGTAGTTTTACTTTAAATATGCAAATTATATAAAATGCAGATTAAAGGCAAACTTAGAGAACATTCAACTTAAACTGTGAGAGCACTTTTAACAATCATGGTTTATACTACCCACTAGGTTGTCCTCAACACCATGAAACATTAGAAGTCTACCTCATATTTACCAACTTTTCCAGGACTAAACGTTTATTAACTTTACAAGCTGCAGCTCCAACTTTGGCTTTACACAAACTGGCCATTAAGTGCTGATGCATGAGGCTCTGTCATTTAGCTGTGTCTGAGGGGGAAACCTGAAAACTTTATGAGAGCATGACAGCTGCTGTGGCTGGATGAAGCTGGATGGTGCACCTAGCTGTATGTACATTTAGGACCATTTATAGTACCCAGGAGCAAATGCCCAAAACACAAGAAGTCTGTGTTCTGGACATTCATCTCTGGGCGAATACTGCCCCAAAACGCAAGAATTTCTGAGTGCATCAGCCAGCCCCATCCAGCTGCAGGAGCTGTCAGACTCTCATAGAGTTTGATAGGTTGCCAGCAGTAGGGCTGGGCGGTGGACTGGTACCTTCCAGCCACAGCCGGAGCCTCATGCACCAGGGCTAAATGCCCAGTATACATGAGGCCTTTCACTGTACCCTATTCTATTTCCTGCCTTTGTCACTGGGACAGATAGTGGTTGGAAATATCCTGAGTGGGGACATATACAGCAATAAAAACCTGACAGAGTTCTAAAAAAAAAAACCCCCCAACATTCTGACATTCCATGGCTGGACACGGGCTTTAGCACTTCTTTCTGTATATACTGTATATTTCAATTTCTTGCTGCTGTTCTGATCCAAACTTGCACTCTGTACAATTTACATAGTAAAACAATGCTGTATATGTTTGTTTTTCAGGGATTTATACTTTTGGATTATTTGCTACAGACATATTTGTAAATGCTGGACAAGTTGTGACAGGAAACTTGGCTCCACATTTTCTTACAATTTGCAAACCGAACTACACAGCACTTGGTTGCAACCAACTTACACAGTTTATCACTGATGCCAACGCTTGTACTGGAAATCCAGACCTTGTTATCAAAGCAAGGAGAACATTTCCATCCAAAGAAGCAGCTCTCAGTGTATATGGAGCAATGTACTTGGCTGTGAGTATCTTATCTCTATATTTTTTTGTAGTACTGCATTATAGTTCTGAGCCCTTGAATTATATTATTTATCACAGTCATTAAGGAAAACTTACAAACAATAATATTTAATTCAAGAAACTGAAAGTGAATTTTCAGGGATGTCAATTTCCTGGTCAAATGGCAAGCCCTTATGACACAACAGTGCCCTGTAGTGATGTAGAGGCTGGTTGAAGGAACCACAGTGCACAGCAGGAGACTAGGAAATCTCAGAGGTGTCAGATTCTGTAGAATCTTCAGCATGCCATCTGCCAGAGAATGTAGTTGTCAGTTTCAAGTGTGCAGTTTATTTTTAATAATTCTCTATATGATTAGTATTGTAGAAAAAAGGGTCCAAAAATAGTTGGAATATGATTCCTCACAGGATCCATTTTAAGCAGTGGGCAATGAGAAATCATATTTTTTTAAAATTTTCTATCTGCTGTTTATTACAAGAAGAAAACCTGTGAAACTGCATTAATATAAAAAAAAACAATAGAAAACTCTCTTTAAAATTTGTAAAGATAGTTAGCATTTTCTGTGATTATTTTCTAATATGACGAAAATAAAACATTTCACACATTCACATAGCTCCCAAGAGTGTCAGTTTCCCGTTATTATAATACCAGAAAAAGTGCGTACACAACTATGCCTAATCCAAATAACATAAATAATTAAAGCTAGCCAGCACTGGAAAGTATTTCAAACCTAAGTTCAAAAGCCAAAACAAAATATCAGTGCAGGGCTAATAATGCTATCAGAAAAAAATGCCTATACCCTAAATATGCCAAATCATAAAACACATAAACACCATGTCATAAATTCATAAATTAGTCCCAAAACACAAAAGTCCACACCATTCAAAAACTGTCTTTGAATTCTATCTTCAGTAAGATTCCCAACACAAATGAGGTAATATTCACAAGGTGCACTACCAAATCTGTGTGCCTATATCGCTCACCTTCATAAATAGACCTCTTGCAACAGAAAAGGTCTATAAATCTTAGATTGTAAGCTCTAACGAGCAGGGCCCTTTGTTTCCTCTTGTACCAAATTGTATTGTAACTGTAATGTCTACCTTCAGTTTGTAAAGTGCTGTGCAAACAGTTGGCACTATATAAATCCTATATAATAATAATAAGCACATTTGTTATCAAGGAAGGAAAAGGGGGATTCACCGCACCTCATCAACTGCAACATTGAATCTTGAAAGGATTCTCATCCACTTCCCAAAATGACAATAGCTCAAAGAAAAGGATAAATCATAGTGCTCACTGTTGTCATATAAAATATTTCAAAATATAATGATTCCACTCAAAAAATACTGTGCTTCATACGTCCAAGGCATTCATCAAAAGTGCTGCGCAGTAATCCACTCAACACCCAAGTGCATCAAAAGTGCTCATCTTTAGCAAATTACCCCTTAAGAGACAGGAGGTCTAGCAGAGCTTCTGAAGTGTAAAAAGAGGTCTATCCTCCAATAATTACGATCTTCCCTGCAAAAGGCTCAAAGGTAAATCTCTCCAGTCCTTCCTTGCAAGCAACCATAATTCCTAAATAGACCTTTCTACAACAGAAAAGGTTATAAGCGAGTTCCACCACTCTAGGAAGGAAGGAAGGAGTAGAGTGATTTGTAAATCTCAAACCCTAATGTAAGGGTTGAGTATAATGTCCACATACTGAAAAAGGTCAAATCTTGTGGCGACAGAAAAAACACAAACATCTCTTTTGAATGAGCCATAAAAACTGACTCAAAATAAACCTGTACACTAGACAAAGTATCTAAACCAGCCTTTCTCAACCTTTTTGTTACAGAGGAACCCTTGAAATAATTTTCACGTCTTTGGGAACCCATGCTAAGTTATTAAATCCCTAGTATATCTAGCATATTTGACACCCAGAGCAGATAGTTTTCTCTTAACACTCTCCTGATTCATAAGAAAAAAAATGTGTCAGTAAATATCATGAAATGGGACAAATAATAATGGCCAAAAAAATAAATTCCAATTGGTGAAAATTGCGGTGCCCCTTACATTAATGGTCAGTGAAAAAGTACCTTCTTATATTGCTAGTCAGTGGGGTTCATTTACTAAAACTGGAGATTGCAAAATTAGGCTCACTTGTGCATAGAAACCAATCAGCTTCCAGGTTGTATTGCCAAAGCTTAATTGAACAAGCTAAGGTTAGAAGCTGATTGGTTTCTATGTATAAGTGAGCCTGATTTTGGACCAGTTTTAGTAAATAAACCCCAGTGTAGTATAGTGTAGTGGTCCTATGTAATGGTAGCCAATGGGAGAGCAAGTCCTTATATTATAGGACAGTGAAAGAATACTTCATAGATTTCTTGCACACTGCTGCCAAAATATTTAGTCCTTTTAGGCATAAAGACATGTTTTTTTTTACTGATCTTTATGCAGCCTATTGTTTTCAATGTGCCTGTACACACAGGCGCATAAACTAAACATGCGCTACGTATAGATGAGAAAAAATATGCATGCAAAAATGAGCATAAAATGGTAATTTGAAGAGGTTAGAATTTATTTTCCTTGTGTATGTGCGTATGGACAAATATGCACAAAATAAGTGCCTGGAATTTCGGCCAGGAATACTGAAGTTCAAACATCCAGGAACCCTGCATGAGAAAACCCTTATCTAAACTCAGACTTCTCCTGGATTTTAAACACCGTAAGTTGCCAAACTGTTCCATTTTGGCCACTTGCTCCCCTCTGCAGAGTGTCAGTGACTACCATAGATGTTCCTAAGAAAAGATGGACTATCTAAAAGTCAACATTTGCAGAAGCTTAGGCATACTCTCATGTGCTTGGACCTCGTTATTGGTCACTCCAAGCACCAAGCACTGTCATTTTAGAAAAGGGGACTGGGATATACAGTAAGTCTACTCACCTCACACCATGGAAATATGCAGAAATGAATGGTTTACCTAAAGGCACTAATGAAAGAAATAATGAGGGATTTCAAAGGTGGGGACACACTATTCCTTCCACAAACAGAGGCCTCTGCTAGCGTTGCAAGCCAATTGTTTGCTTCAGCAGCACATACAGTATACTAAATTGGAATGATATAAAGAAGATCAGCATAGCCCCTGTGCAAGGATGTTTTGTTGAAAGTTAGTGAAGGGTCCATATTTGTTATTGGTCGAATTCAATCGTGTCTTTCTTTTTTCAATATGACTATTTTACTGTGTTAGTATTTTAAGAGTTGTGTGTTCCCTATGGATAAAGCAACACTCCCTAAAATATATGGAACTTATAACAAAGATCTCACATTTGCTCCCATTTGGTATGTTAAATTTACTGTACCATTGAAAGTAGTTTTCTGTTCAAAAAAAGCTGTTGATCCTTCCAGAAATCCAGTGAGCTTAACACTTCACGTGAAAATCTAAAGCAGTGTAATTCTCCTTAGCCATTTTGCCTTTGTGAACTACAGAACACTCCCCTCCACTTTCCCCCCATGTAACAGAGATTAGAAGAGGGGAGCTGTTCTATATTCCAAATCATGAACAAGCAGCACTGAGTCATACAATAGAGTAAGTGACGTCACCCTAGGACAGGAAATGTGTTACTGGCAGGATGGCCAATTAAAAATAACAGAACCACAGCTTGAAAAAAACTCATGTAGCCATTGCATCTAAGGACGAAAGGTAAGATGCAATATATAACATTTTGTTCTTAGGCTTAGATATGCAATTAGACTTTCATTTTGCATGGGAACCTTCCCCAGAGCTTAGTGATTGCTGTGTAAAATCACTTTGCAAAGAATACCCAATCATGTACAAGGAACATAAAAAAATAGCATTTTTTCTTGCACATGATTTGATCTTGAGAGTCAGCAGAGCTTCAACTCATTCACCAAAGAGAAAATTCCCTTGCAAATTCTATTTGCTTTTAGTAAATGTACACCTATATCTCAGGAAACCATGCAGCCCACTTATACACATCACATAGATCTGTTTGTAATTCTCCATCTTCCATTCATCTAATCTTCCAGCACAGTGGCAGTTTGAGATGTATGTGACTGGGAAATATGGTTCATTACCAAGTTTAGTTACAGTTCTAAAGCGCTCTTAATAGCCTCAGGTGTTCAATAAATACTTGTGAGCGAGATGAAAGAAGAAGAAGCAGATTGAAAATGGAGAAATGCATATTATCCAGGGCTTTCATGAATGCCATAGTATAAAAAATTCCTATTGAGCTAGGTAATCACCTGCTGATACACAATGTTGCAGCCAGTGTTTCAAGATTATTCTAACACTTATTTTCACAGCAAATTGGTGCCAAAAATATTAGCTACCATTGTCACCTTGTTAACATTTGTGCAATGTATGTACAATATGCAGAACAGCTTTTTCCAAATAAATGCAACTTCATGAAAGATACCTAACCTACCAGCATATTACAGATTTTCAACTTGGAACTCTTGAAGTCACTTAGCATATTAATTTGCACCATACATACTGTATCTGTTCATTAATAAAAAATGTATATACTACTACAAGCAGTTCCTTAGTACTGTAACACCCTTGAAGCTTTGTCCATCACCTCAATACATTCTGATTAGCAACATCAAGGTTTATGGTAAAGCAAGAGAGGGAAGTCTTTCTTCTTTGCAGGCAGTAGAAACATCCCTTTTCACATTTCAGGTCTTGACAAAGTCAAGTTAATAGCCTTCCTTCAGCCCTCCACCCTTCTTTTTATTGGCAATATTACCTTCACATAGGGTCTCCTTTCCTTGTTTTTTCTGGAGAGGAACTGATAGGGGCGTGTTTGTGCGGTTTTTATAAGCTTAACGTGGTTGTAAACCCTTACATACTGTATACCCATTGAAGTGACTAGCCTCAGGTGACTCACAGAGATGAAACAAATCCTCTTCCATGAGTAGGTACCTGCCTGTCTGCAGTCTTCTTTTCTCTACATCCATTCAAAGTTCTTGAAGCTTGTCTGAGAGTTCAGAAACAAGGGACA